TAATAATAATAATAATAATAATAATAATAATAATAATATGCTTGTGAACAAGCATGGCCATTTGGGACACTCAGCCTGCCCATCTATCCCCGCCACCTCACATTGGACTAGTAGGTCCACAACCTTCAGTGAAGATGACTTCATCCTGCAATAACTATTTGGGCTGACATAACCAATACAAATTTGATTGATATTAATCAATAAAAATATACATTGTTAGCAAACTGTGCTGCAAAATTTCATTTTACTCCTTTTACAGATACAATTTTAGATTTTTTTTTCTGATTCAAAGCAATGAATATATGGATGTTTCTTTTAACATCTCCATTTATTGCATTAAGTGCAACATTTGTAACCTATATGTCACTGAAATAAGTTCTATTATTTCAGGGTGTGTGTGTGTGTATGTATGTATATGTGTGTATGTATGTATGTGTATATGTATATGTATATACATATACATACACACATATATAATGTACACATATAAATATATACACACACACATGTATATATATATAGAGAGAGATATATATATACATACACACATATGCATATACTTGTGTGTGTATGTATACATATACATACATACATATACACACACATACCCTATTGTAAAATAGGTGATACAGTATCTTGAATTGGCATTGATTCAATATTTTTGTGAAGGACAAATCTGATCTATACTTTATCCCATAACCTATTGGAACCACTTGCTCTTATTAAGTATAATATTTACAAACAATTATGACTAAACAGGGTTTCGATTTATTTTCTATGATACATAATTAAAGTTCATATACTATATGCAAATATAATGCAACAGTAAAGGCAAGTGAATTTTATGCTACTTCAATATTTGTCTTTTTTTCTCTGAAATATTTTTATATTTTTATATTATTTCTTATTTCTTATATTTTAAGATCAATTATTCAGTTTTAGCAGCAACAGCAACAGAATTCTCCCTCACTCTGTGTCTCTGCCAGTTGTAATGAAATGTTTGTTTGATGTTTCTTCTGGAAATACATTAAACAAATGTGCTCTCTCTTTAATTCTACTAATTATGAAATTGTCTCTTAATTTGGCTAAAAAGTGTCTGTTAAAGATCTCTGCACATTCATTGATAGATGTGCTTCATCCAACTGAAAGATTAATGTTGTCTTCTTGAGACTAATTTGTTCTTTAAGCAATAATGAAGTCACTCAAGCTCTTTGTGATTCCTTTAGGCCATTGTCACAAAACATTTACTGCAGAACATTCTCCCTTAAGAGTTTTTCAAATATGGATGTCTTTGTCATGTAATCTTAAACACTCTTCTTTTATACAATTAATGGAAAAAAAAGTCCTGTATATATTTAAAATGGGCCAATTCACATACCATTCTTTGCATTCTTAGGACATCTCCTGCTCATGTGTTTTCAGCTTTAGGAGTAAGATTAAAATGAAACAGAGATTCTCATACAATGTTCTGCACTTTGTTTGCAATGCAGAGATATGAAGGACCACTGATCAGCTCTCACCATGACTACAGGACAAAAAAGCTAAAGTGATAGCTAAATAAACCTATGAAAAGGAATGGATATTCTCATGCAAAAATACCATGTAGTACTTATGTATTCAATTTCTAGACAAAGGATTTATTCTTAATTCTAAAAGAAGGAGCAACTGTAGTTCTCTTGCTATATAAACCAGGGTATACAAGATGAAAGGAGCCTGAAACAACTGGTTACTTTTCATTTGCAAAAATCAGAATGTACATTCTGTTGGTTTACATGGTTTCAAAATGTTTCTCTCAATTTCCCACTCCATTAAAGAAGATAATGTAAAAATATTAAGAACCATTCCAATTGGGGGAATCAAGTCTGCCGCCGCCGCCGCCTCCTCCTCCTCCTCCTCCTCTCTCTCTCTCTCTTTCTTTTTCTTTGGTTAAATGATGAGTAAGTCCTGCTTTTGTGTTCTCTTTCTTATTGTAATACTGGAGGGGGAAATTAAATAAAAATAAAAGTTTATATTTATTGGTATGTAGTAGTTTGATCCTTAAAATTTGATAAATGTGTTTTTTATGTACAGAAAAAAAAATGTGATAGATTTCCTTGAAGGCATCATATGTGAGTTTTGGGGTGGCCCGTGAAGGGATTGCACATATGTACAATTGAAATTATGCTCAGTTCTTAAAGTTCAGACTGAAACCTAGAATCAAGTAGGCAAGATATTACAGAAAATATAATAAAGGTTTTGAAGATAAAGCTATGAATTAATATGTGTGCGTAAGCTTAATTTCATTGTTATATCTCTGTAAGACAACAAGCTGATAACATTTTATGGTATCATGACAGGACCTATGTTTTGGATTTTGGTCAAGTATGCTGAATATTTTCCAACTATCTCATTCAATTACCAAAAAGAAATGGTTTTGGGGGAAAATCAAAGAGAATATTCTATGGTGAAATTAAATAGGTTGGGTGAGAAATTCTAGTTATTACTTAAATTATAAAATAGCTAAAAATTGAAAGAATTTTCATTGCATCATAATTTCTCTGGTAATCTCCACCCTTCTTTGAGTTCCATTTAACATTGGTTACAAAACAACTTGTGATAAAATGAAGGGGAAAAAATCCCCGTGACCCAATTTAGAAGTGGAGATCACACAATCTGCTTGCGCCAAGTTTATTTGAATAGTGCTGGAAGCAGACCATAAGGTGCTGTCCAGTGAAGGAGGATACTGTAATGGTATGTGAGAAAAACTTTAAAAGATGAGGTGAAGAGATGCTGCCTAGGGAACTATCAGATAAGAGAGGGCATAGCCCACAGCTGCATAATGGATAGAGAAAGAAACCTAGAAAGGACCCTCCCTGGCTTCCCAGGCTGTAAAGGAGCCAGTGGGAGATTGGTACTTTCAGACTTACAAAATTCTGTTACTGTAGCCTTACAATAAAGTATATTAGCTCATCTGGTCATGTTTCCTGTTTCTATCTGGGAAGGCTGACATCAATCTTGCAAGTCTGAAAGTACAAATGTCCCATTGTCTCCTTTACAGCCTGGGAAGTTACAGAAGGTCCCTTCTAAGCCTCCTTCTTCACCCATTTCTCAGCTGTGGGCTATGCCCTCTCTTATTTGATTATTCCCTAGGCAGCATCTCTTTACCCTGTCTTTCAAGGTCTTTCTCGCATACCATTACAAGTACAAACAACTGTTATATAGTTGTATAATAAATGCTGACCAGTAACAGTGTCAGATCATAACATGGGTTAGATTTTCTCCTTATAGTGAGATAAGCAGAATAATAGAGGTCAGCACTAGTTAGTTTTTGTGGTTAGTTACTTCCTAGTTCCTGTTTAAAAATAAAAGTGCTGATCTAAGATAACTCGTGAGCCAGCATCTGCAAATGCCTAAGTAAGCTATTAAGGAGGCTTACTGGAGTTCAGGGGCCTTGGTAGTTGAAGGTTTGGGTTCAGGTATCTGTTTTACTCCTTCAAACATTACCAAAATAAAAGCATTAAATTATAGAAGTAAGTGTAACATAATGGTGAGAGTTTAGAGTTCAATATATGCTTGTGAACTGCAGCCAATTTGCTGTCTATAGATCTGATTTTCTCATGGAAATGAGTGGGTCTAATATTAATATCAGAAGGTATACAAAGGTCATAGGAACACAATTCTCTAGGACCTTATATCTCTGCATACCATTCTCTATTCTAAATTCTTCTGTTCCCCTTAAAGTTCACCTTGCATCCTGGATGTAAGCTAGGGATACAAATTCTGGACTGCAAAAAAAAAAAAAAAAAATTCCAGCTATTAGAGGGCAATTAAATGCTAACATTTTTATATTGCTTTGCTGCCATTTAGTCATTTTTACAACCCAGATATGGTTGCCCTAGAGTAAATCGGTGCCTGGAATTGTAGACGCCAAAAAATAAGGTGGGGTAGAGCTCCATACTAGATTTTTTTTTTTTTTGCCTATTTTCCATATAGGTGCTATAGAGATTTCAGCAACCCACTCTGGAGCCATATGAATGAATCCAAAAGATTCTTCCTATGAAATGAAAAAAGGAAATGCATACATTATACAAAGGACACTATCCTTGACAAAATTTTAATACACTTATAGCGGAATATAATGTTCTTTTCTTGGAAATTTTCTTTTATTAGTCTTATTAGTCATTCAGTCTAACATGGAATGCATGATGAACATTTACTGTACTTGAAACAGTTATCATTCCTGCTTTCATTTGGAATTTATTTTGCCTTTGGTACAAATTAAAATCTCCAAATTCTTTAGGTGTAGACACTCTACATGCAAATTGGCATTAAATGCAACATATCTTTTACAGAAGTAATACAACTGAGCCTACCAGAAGATCAGAAAGTAAGCATTACAGCTGCGATAGTTGGACAAAGTGCAGTTCTAAGTTGTGCCATTCAGGGGACCTTGAGACCTCCAATCATCTGGAAGCGGAACAATGTCGCTCTGAAGAGTTTAGATTTAGAAGACATCAATGTAAGTGATTAAGGACAATTGAGCTACTTAACAGAATTATAATAAAGTTTTTGCCATACAAACTAGAGCAATCACATTTGTTAAATTGACATGTGGTCCTGAATCTTGTTCCAATTTGCTCTTGAATAAAATGGCCATTACTAGAGCTATATGGTAATTTATATACATAAAATATAAATTCTAGTTCATTGGCAGAATGGATATTGCATTTCAGTTGTAAGCAAAAGGAAGAAGATGAAGGATTTTGGATAAAGAAAAAGGTGGATTCATTTCATAGCATCAAGTAACAAACTTGAGAACAGATTAAGCAGTATTATTTTCAACTTTTACTATGTGACTCTTTCTACTATATGGATCCCCATTTTTCAGAGATGGGGATGGGAAAATCCTGCTATGAGAGAAACACACTTTAAACTTACTTAAAGAGTTACTTGGCTTTCAGGAATCATAGTATTGCCAATATAAAAGTATTCTTCACATGAGAAGTGCACCAAGACATCACAGAATGATAAACTTATATTTATTGCCTGCTAATAGGCTGTGGCTGTTATTCTCAGCAGATAGGAAAAAGTAAGAAGTGGTCCTCAGATTTCATTCATATTATTTTGTCCTACAGGTTTAACATCAAGTTACAGAATATTTACCATCAACCTTTCAGTTGTAGTGCCTTCCATAGCTAAGGAAAATCTCACTCTTTCACTATTGCTCTAAAACTCTTATGATAATTTATAAATATTTTTTTATAAAATCAAATTCATATGCAGATATTGTTAAAATTAGAGTATTCTAGCCACATCGCACCTTTGCCTATTATGTTAGATCTGGAGTTTTGCACTGTCATGATACAGCTCTTGTTTTCATAATGATCTTGGATCATTTTGTCCTGGGTCAAATGGAAGTAGCTATGGAACTGCCTGGATATACACATATAATTCATCTTCTCCTGGGATTAGTCAGTCCCTCATGCCCTGGTCATCTCCCACATAGACTATTGCAATGTGCTCTACATGGGCTACCCTTGAAAAGTATTTGGAAGCTTCAGCTGGTTCAAAATGCAGCTGCACGGGCAATTTTGGGTGCCCCAAAGATGGCACATGTTACACCTTTGCTGTGTGAACTGCATTGGGTCCCAGTTTGCTTCCGGGTCCAATTCAAGGTGTTGGTTATCACCTTTAAAGCCCTATATGACATGGGACCGGTTTACCTGAAGGACCGTCTCACCCTCATTATATCTATCTGTCCCACCTGGTCAGGCAGAAAGGGTATGCTATGGACCCCGTCGATGAAAAAATGTCGACTGATGGGATCCAGAAAGAGAGTCTTCTCTGCTGTGGCCCCCGCCTTATGGAATACTGTTCCCCCAGAGGTGAGGCAGGCCCCAACTCTCTTGTCCTTCTGGAAAGCCGTTAAGACTGGCAGGAGGCGAAAAAAGGGGTAACCAACCCTGGGGGTGGCTAGCACCTTGAAGATGCTCCCATATGTTAACATCTTACTG